TAAAATCGTTATACCTAAGGAACAATAATATCATCATATTTTAGGAATGATAAAATCATCATCCCTAAGGAATGATAATACAATCATTTCTTAGAAACGATAAAATAATTGTACCTAAAGAATGATAATACTATTATACCTTAGGAACAATAAAATTTTTATACCTAAAGTATGATAAATGCATCATTCTTTAGAAATAATAAAACCATTATATCTTAGATATAATAATGCTATCATTTCTAAGGAACGATAATACCTATCGTATCTAAAGAATAATATAATCATTCCAATTAAATGTCAATTAATTATAAATAAGATAAGTCAAATTTTAATATATACCAATCAGCTATAAGTATGCTAATTAGCTTTAAATAAGATAGGTCAAATTTTGGCTAATTCTTGACTGTTTTTAATGTATGCTAATTGGCTAGGCTGATTTTTGATAATTTGCTAAATTTAGGCTGATTTTAGATTGATTTTAGGCTAATTTTTATATGTCTGATTTTTTTGATTTTGACTAGTGTCATTATAAGTAAAACTAAGTCTACCTATATTATTTCAATATTTAATATTACTGCAATTTACTAATTGGTCTATAAATAATTTCTTTTTCATGCTATTAGAAAAAGTTTTTTCAAATTTTTTTTACAATTTAATTATACTTCAATCCTGAAAAAAACATTAAAAATTACTTTTTTTTTAATTTTAGACATTTGTTTAATAACTCTTTTTAGCTTTATTAGACTTGATGCTTCTAATCCATTAGGTCTTATATATTTTTGTGCAGAATTAATCATATTATTTCCTAGCTATATATAATAAATTTGGATTTTTTAATATTTATTTTATAATAAATTTAATAAATATAATTTTTGATTTTACCTTAAGCTTTTTTTTTAGTTTTTTATATGTAAAATTTTCAGCAATTATTGAAAGAATCCTAACTTTTCTATTAACTTTTCTTTTATTTGCTTCTAGAGCTTTTTGTAAACTTTTTCAAAATATTTCACTTTCGCTATCAGGTTGAAATCTCTTTTCTATTACCAATAATATTCCTAATTCATAAGTCTTACTAGATTATTTCTATTAGATAAAGAATCTGATATTTTTATTCAGAATTCAATTATATTCTTATTTTTTATAAATAGAGTAATATTAGTATAACTAGAAGTATGAAATATTATTCTCTATGCGTCTAATTCTTTTTCTTAAAATTGATAATTATCTGGATAAATTTGAAATAAAATTGTAAAAAATTGAATTATTGTATTAGTTTATTTGTATCAATTTATAAATAAGCTTGATCAATTTGAAAATGTACTAGTAATAATTTTGCATGATTTTATATTTTATTCATATATAAGATTTAATATATCAATATTTTTCCAATTATTACTTATACAAGTAGTTAAATTTTTACTCTTTTTTAATTTGTTTAATTCTTCCAATTTTTGTTAAACATATAAATTAGTAATTCTAAATAAAGCTACCTAACCATATTTTTTATAAATATTAATAGTTTTTCAGATTTTACTAGGTGTAGTATCCTTATTATGATATAATTTAATACCTTCATTATAAATTTCTAAACTACATTCATCTTCTATGAATTGTACAAGAAATGATTATTTATTTGCATATTATGTTATAAGTATATAAAGTTACTTGTCTAAACTTATTTTAAATTTAGCAAAATGTCTAAACTATAGTTTTGCTAATTTTACTAAGCTTTGATATAGTTTTACCTTTTTCAGAATTTTGCAGATTTTTTAATAAAATTTTAATATAATTTCACTAAATTTTACCTTTTTCTATTTAGATGATTTGCAAAACCTCTAAGTTTTATCTAACAACTTTATAAGTATAAAAAAATATCCTAGATCATCATCATAAAATCCTTTATGATATGAAATACTAATTTGACTGATTACAGTTAATATTTATCTAAACAAATAAATATTAGAATAAATAAAATATTAGCTATTAACTTATAAATAATTGTTTCATTATTAAATCCTATAACAGTTAATCCTGAATATTTTGTTTTATTACCAAATTTAGTTATATATATAGTTAATAGCTGCAGAAGCTGATGGTTTAATTTCAGAATCTTTATCATTATAAAGATAACAGAAACATGAATTTTATGTTTTTTCATCATTAAAAACTATTATTGCAAAGTTTTTACTGTTAAGATAACAATTAACAGACATAAATAATTGATAAGATACTAGATTAACACTGATTTGATCAAATTTACCTGATTCTTACTAATTTTATGCATATATTTCATAATATAAGTTGTCTGAAATTATTCTTTTAATTAAAAGAATTACTATATACTTTTTTTTTGCTTATTAAATAAGTTTGTATAATAAAGAATACGAAATTTTAAAAAATTTATTTTTATTAATAACAAAATCCATAATATTAATTATAGCCTACCAATCATTTTATCTTATTAAGTGATAATTTATTTCTTAAATAATATATTTCTTTTATCAAATTTTTTAGAAAAAATAAAAATAATAATTAAAGAAAATCTTATAATAGAAATTTTAATAGAATTAGAATTGAAAATACTTTTTTTCTTAAAATTTATTTATTACTTTTAAAGAAAAAAAAACAATAAAAAATCAAGATAAAATTAAAAATTAGATATATACCTATATATATTAATAAGAATATAAATGAGTTAAAAAATATTGAAAAATAATAATTATTATAAAATAATAAATAAAAATAATTAATAAATAATAAATTATATATTTTAGATTTTATTATTAAATTATTTTTATTAATAAAAAAAATAAGAGTAAATAAATTTATTTAATAATATTAATAATAATTTAAAATATATTTCTATTAATTTTATAATTAACTTAAATATTTAACAAAATTAATTCATATAATATATATACAATTTATAATAATTATATATTTATATAAAAATATTATAAATATTATATAGAACTTTTATAATAGAAAGGAAGAAAATAACTGAAAAAAATTAATTTTACTTTTATATAATAAATATAATTTTTAGGTCAAAATATATTCAGATTTAACATTAATTTATTTTTATTTTTTTTAGCTATTTTTCTTTTTTTTATTGCAAAGATCTGATATAATCAATTATATATAAGAATATGAACAAAAAAATAATTTTGATTTTAAATTTATTAAAATAATTTTAAAATATATTAAGAAAATAAAATATTAATTAAAAAGGTTTATATTAAAAAATTTATTTTCAAGGAATAATAAAAATTAAAATAATATTAATTATTATAATTATTTTAATATAACATTATTTTTATTAATTATAAAATTAAAATATCATATAATTAAATTAATTATAAATTGCTTTATTATTATTTTTAAATTTTAATATTAATATTCTAACTATTATTAATGAATTATCATTTTTAAAATTTAAAATAGATTTTAATATAAAATAATAGATAGCTTAAATTAAATATATTAGTTAAAATAATTTAAAATCAGATAGAAAACAAATAGTTAAATTTAGGCAGATTTTAATATTATTTAAATAAGTGTTAAATAACTTAAATCAGACAAAATCAATTTAAAACTTAAATTCAACTATAAAATTAATTTAAAGTTGACCTTAATTTAACATTAATTTAACATTAATTCAAAATTAAATTTAATTATAATTAGCCTAAAATATTGTTGATCAACTCCAATTAGACAAATAATTTAATAGTAATTTAAAACTTAAATAACTATAAATCAGCTTAATTGATTTCAATCAAACAAGTAATTTAATATTAATTCAAAACTTAAATAACTATAGATTAGCCTAAAATTATTTTTAATTTAATATTAATTCAGTTAAATAAATATATAAAATTAGTATATTTTTATTTAATTAAATTTATTAAATATTAAATTTTATAAATAATAAAAACCTAATATAAATTCACAAAATTATAACAAATTATATTAAAATATACTTATTAATTTTTTATTTAAAAAAAATAATAATATAATCATATAATGATAAAAATATAATTCATTTTTTTTCAAAATCCCTTGAAATCATTTTATAATTTATTAAATTATAATTTTTAAATAAATAATATAAAACCTTTACAATAGAAAGAGGAAAACAGCAAAAAAAAAAATCAATTTTACTTTTATATGAATATGATATTAGATTAAAATATATTCATATTTAGCATTAACTCAATTTTATTTTTTTCAGCCATTTTCACCTTTTCTATTGCAAAAGTTCTATATAATATTTAATTTAATTAAATAATATATTATAATATTTAATAATAAATATTAAATATTAAATTATTTAATTTTAATAAATTAATGATTTATTAATAAAATTTATTTTTTAAAAAATAATCATAATAATATTTTATAAAATTTTTAAAAATTATTATTAAATTTTATAACAAATTAAATTTGACAAAATTTTAAATTTGTTATTTAAAAATAATTTATATTTATATTTAAAATATATTAATTTAAAATATTAGTTTTATAATTTAATATTTATTAGGTATTTTATTTTTTAATTAAAATATTTATAATAAAAGTGTTAAAATATATATATAAAATTATTTATAGATTTTAATATATTATCAATTATATATAAAAAATATAAACATTTATTTAAAAATTTTTTAAGCAATTTCTTTTTAAAAGTCTAAATTATTTTTTTTTTTTATATATATATATGATTAAAAATTATTGTTAAACATAATATTATAAAGAAAATTTAAATAATTTTTCAGTATTTTGTTTTTATTTTCTATTTCTTTAGCTAAGAATTACTAAAAAAGGGAATTTCATGGTTACACAACCCTGTTTTGTGTAATCAAAGCTTAAAAAGGTCCAAGTCTGATAACTTTTTATTATAATTCTAAGTATTACCTTTTTCAATTTTTTCAATCTTATTATTATTATTATTTTTGTTTTACCTTTTAAAACGCCAAAACTGAAAAAATAAAATAAAAAATATGGATATGGAAATCGACGGAACAGACGGGAAACCATATGTACTTATAGAACCTCGTAAGCTACCAATCACGAAAGGGTCACGAAATAAAGAAAACTATACAAACGGAGACTCTTTAAACTCCGTTTTGGACAATTTTTTTGAGCCTAAGACAGGGATAGTTTATGATAAACGGATGCGTTATCATGGAAATATACATGAAGAAGAGCACCACCCAGAAGATCCAATGAGGATTACCGTTATTCAAGAGAAAATTAAAAATACTGGCTGTTTAAATAAAATGGTTATGATAAAGACTCGTGAAGTTTTGCGCGAGGAAGCCTGCCTTGTACACACAGAAGACCACTGGGACTTTGTTACAAAGACTGCACGTAAGACTTTTATTTATAAAACTTAATATTTACGAGTCTTTTAAACCATATTTCAATTTTTAGTACCATTATCAATATTTTGACATAATTTATAAACTCTCAATTGATTATAGAAATGAGTGATAGCGAATTAATAAAGATGGCAGATGAACATAATTCTATTTATCTTAACAACGAGACAGCATTTTGTGCAAGATTATCATGCGGTGGTGTAATTGAACTATGCAAAGCAGTTATTGATGGAACTGTCACAAACGGTTTTGCAAACGTTCGTCCTCCAGGTCATCATGCGGAAATAAATGAACCAATGGGATTCTGCTTTTTTAATAATGTAGCGGTTGCAGTTCAATGCTTGAGAAAACATTATAATATAGACAAAGTGTTCATTCTTGATTGGTAAGGTAACGATTTCAATCATCGTGACGAATATTTGATTTAGATTTATTAAATCGCATTTCTTTCTATATTTGGTAAAACTAATTGGATTATCAAGGGATATTCATCACGGTATGATTTACAAATAATTATAGTTATCGAAAGTACAAAATCTTTTTACATCTCGATTCTTTTGACTTGTAGGTAATGGTACGCAAAAAGTTTTCTATAATGATCCTAATGTGGTATATTGTTCGTTACATCGATATGAGAATGGAGACTTTTATCCTGGAGATAGAGCATTAGCTAATTATACAGCCATAGGTGGAGGTGAGGCCAAAGGCAAGTCAGTAATTTTTCCAAGAATTCTTATTTCATTAGCCCTTTCTTTTCTAACCAATCTGCAAATATTAAGAAATATATTTTTTCTATTTATTTATAAGAACGATAAATATACCATGGCCTCGCGCGGGAATGACAGATAGTGATTATATATTCGCGTTTAACAAAGTTGTGATGCCTATAGCTTACGAATTTTCACCAGATATTGTAATTGTATCAGCAGGTTTTGAT